CAACAACACTTTGTGCCTCATATTTAACACAAGTAATATTTTAACATCTCTGACTTGCCCAATTTTTAAACCAATTTTAATTTCACTTTCATAGTTTTAACTTAAACTACTCGTAGTTTTAAATTTCTTGGATGTTCATAGAAATTAGGGCTGCAACTAACGATTATTTTAATAATCGATTAGTCGTCGATTAATTGATTAATCGTTGCAGCCCTAGTAGAAATGATTTTTAACAGCTTCAAGCCAAGATTCTGATGTTTCTGTACAAACACATCTATGTTTAACTAAAATAATTTGTAGTAATTAAAGTATAAAACCGGGGTTGAGTTTAAGAGATGAATGAACCAGTTGGCGGGCCGAACTTTGGTCACTCGTGGGCCAGGTGTGGCCCATGGGCCGCCAGTTGAATAGCCCTGAGCTAGTGTAAATTAAGTGTACGGCTTGGTTAGATGGACAAGTTTTGCAGTTTCAGAGCTATAAACAGGACATAAGTGTATTTTATATCAACTAATAAATAATAATAATTGAAAAACTTGAGGCGAGCAAGAACGTTTTCTGTAGATCATTTTTTCCCCCCATGGTTATGTCGTCTTCACAAAATAATGAGCGTTTTCTCGAGAAAACGCTCATCGTTGGGAGGAAAAATTGATCTGCTGAAAAGGCCTGCTCTCCAGTAAAAGAAGAAGAAGTTTGAAATGAAGAAACTTCAGTGTTTCCAATCTTTGTCCAACCGTGTCCTCCTCCTGCAGTGGCCATCAACCTGATCGTGCAGCACATCCAGGACATTCTGAACGGCGGACCAAACAAGCGTCACAATGGCTGCATGAACGGCCTCGGCACCCCTCGGCAGCGGCGGACGTCCGAGTCGAGCAGCCGCCCCCACTGACCTCCCCCGCCCCGACCCCCCCACTCCGCACACACCTCTCCCCACGGAGCAGAGGGGTGTCGCGCTGTAAATAAGCCCACCTGGCATCGCTGTATTTAACAGGGGAAAGAGACAAAGAGTTGAAAGGCCTTTGTGTTCTGACTAATCACTTTCAAAGTGTTCGTAAAGGTGGATTAGGATTTCTGTTTGGAGGACGAAGGTCTTATTTAAGGCTCAGGCTTAGTTTTCCTCCCTAATATATATATTTTTTGTGTTTCCTGCTGCTCCAGGCGCCTCTTGCCAAGAATCAACAAAGAAAAGGTGAAACTAATTTTATTGTTTGATAAAACTTGAACTCCTGATGTGTGGAGCGTGTCACAGGAGGGTTAGAACCATCAGGGATGTTTTGACAATCTGAGGAGTGTTGTTGAGGATTTAGGTGTTTTTTTTGAGTGTACAACATTCAGTGTTTGTGATTAAAGGAACTTGTCAGTGCTGTTCACGTGAAGACGGCGAGTATCACGTCACATAAGGCCGACACTGGAAGGTTTTACTCTGCTGCTTCCCAGAAATTATTTATTTGTGGATTTCTTGTCGAATTAATTTAAATAAATTTATTTATCCCCGTCTCAGAATGAATGAAAAAATTGGATTAATTGTATTTTCTTGAAGAAAAAGAAAACAAAACTCCTCTTACCTCCAAATTTAGCTGATTTCTGGGATCACAAAAAACAAACTCAGGTGAAAACCAGGCGATGTGGCGTGTTTGATGGGAGGGATGGTCATTCCAGGTGTGTGGCAGAAACCCAGAATGCCTCAGAATTCACCTCAGGTTCACATGCACAGTATTTACACTCAGAACCAGTCTCTGGTTCCACAAAGCCGGACCGATCTACACATCTGTGTTGTGTTTGGTGCAAATGAATGAATGAGTTGGACTGTATGAAAGTAGCATCGGGAGCTGAATTGTGATGATTTGAAGATGTCAGTTTTTTTAATGGAAAATAAACTGATGCTGATCATCTATTTGTCTTCAGTGGTTATTTTGGTGTGGTTTGTTTTGTGTAAAATAAAAAAAATGAAATGCTTAAATAAATTTACAGTACTTCTATATACCTGTATTTGGGATGTCACTGCTTCATTCTTAGGGATAAATGATTTATTTTCATTTTTATGTGTTTAATAAAATAGTTTTCCTAATGAAATTACACTTATTGAATTTGAAAACATTTTAAAACGTCAAACACGTTTTGCCTTTGGTCAGGCTGTTTGTCCCTTCAGTGTTGCCGTAAAGTAGGAAGATGTGGCTGACGGAAATTTGTATTTTAATTCTGTCAATAAATAAAAATAGTTGTATTAAGCTGTTTAGTAGAGTAAGCATCTATGAGATAATGAAAATATTATATAATACACGACTGTCATATAATTAAAAAAACTCACTTAGCACACGCCGCCACAATAACACGTCAAAACAAGCATTTTGGTTTAGAAGTTTGAATTTCCAAGGGGACGTGAACGCATCAGGATTTGTCATCGAATGAGCGTCAAGATGGTGGTATGTGTGTCTGCACAAACTGAGAATACATTCCCATGTTTAAGGCTAGTTTTAACTGTTTTTTGTTTGTTTTAATGCACGACAGAAGTTTGGCCTCCAGTTTAAAGCCACTTTGGAGAATGTAACCAACGTGAGACCACTGGGTGAGGACTTCCGCTGGTTTTTAAAGGTAGAATGGCTAATAAAGTTAGCATGTTGTTAGCGAATTTCATGCTGTTCGAGTATTTATTCTGTTCATTTGTCAGAAAACAGAAGGTGTTTATGTTGACTCAGCTGTCCAGATGTGTCAAACTACTGTTTTGTTTTCCTTCTCATTCAGCTCAAGTGTGGAAACTGTGGTGAGGTTCCAGATAAATGGCAGTATGTGACCCTGGTGGTGAGAATAATCTGACTTCTGTTTGCAGATTAGCAATGATTCATAAGGATATAAATATAATATAATATATATATATATAAACATGTTTTGTTTGTGTGTTCCCAGGAAAGCGTGCCATTAAAAGGAGGCAGAGGAAGTGCCAGCATGGTGCAGAAATGTAAACTTTGTGGCAGAGAAAATTCAATTGGTACACAAAGATATCTCATTACAGTTTTAAAATAATCTATGATAAAAGACTGGATTTATAAAGCTACAAGTTTTCTCTACAGATATCCTCAGAGACACAACTACACCTTATAATGTAAGTAAGCCCCTGTTCACACACACAGAGTTTATTGCATCAGCACACACACCAATAACCTTTTATTTTTCATAATGTCAGTGAAAACAAGCTGCACTTTGTACAAGACTTTCACTAACACACACACACACACACACACACACACACACACACACACACACACACACACA